ACCTCCCCCTACAAAACTCGGCTCAGTAGGGGTGGGGGCATAGACCTCATTACAGGTGGACAGGAGTGAAAGTGAATCATTTTTCAGGCCTGCTCTGAAATGCTCAGGCCGTGTCTGAATATCTAGTCACTTTCTGTGCTCAGCTGTGGGGCCCAGCTGCCCACAGCTCCATCTCCTCTATGGGAATAGGGTTAAAGGATTTAAATATAGGCCTTTCAGTTGTAAGAAATGGAGCAACTGTCATGCTAAGTCTTAGCCTAATATCGTGGGACCTGTAACCCCCCACATCCCCACCCCCATCCTGAGAACTAAACAGGAGCTGCCCCAGGTAAGTGCTCCACACCCCAACCTCCTGCCCCAACCCTGAGCCCCCTTCCTTGCCCTAGCTCCTGGCCAGACCCCGCACCCCAACATTTTTTTTTACAATATTTGGAAAGATCTTTAAGTGGACCGTCGAGACCCTCTGTGATTTTCAAGTGGCTTGTGGAAAAATAAGTTGGACTACAAGAACAATCACAGTACCTCACTTTATTTTCATTTACTTGCTATTAGTTATAGGAGGAGGATGAAGAAAAAAAGAATGAAAAACGGGGGCGGGGGGAGATAAGAGAGAATGTTCTTGACTGGGTCCCAAGGAGGAGCCCCAAAAATGAAGCTGCGCACAGGGCTGGGGGGCCCCACTGACTCTAAATCCACCACTGGCTGTCACGTCACCTGGGCTGGGGATACTGTCAGGGCCGGTGTAACCACTAGGTGAACTAGGCAGCTGCTTAGGGCACCAAGATTTGGGGGCGCCAAAAAGCGGTGCTCCAAAAATTTTTTTTACACTACAGTGGAGTCATCTTACACATCTTACGTGGGGGTTAGGCTCTAAAGTCACCACGTAAGAGGAAAATTGTGCATAGTGAAAATTACCATAAAGTGCAGTATACACAATATACACTAGAACAGGGGTCCTCACCCTACGGCACGCACGCTGAGCCTGCTGCCGTCCTGGGGTTC